GGGGGAACGCCGTCGCCCCGCCGGGGGACAGCCTCACCAGCGAGCCGTACTTGTAGACGAAGAGGATCTCGAGGCCGTGCGGTCAGCATCGAGCAGCGCCAGCGCCGGCACCTGCAGCTGCGTCGTCAGCAGCCGCCGCACAGCGGGTTTCAGGTCCGGGAAGCCCTTGCCCTGCCGGCGGCCGGTGGCCGGGGACCGATGGAAGGCGCAGGGGGATATGCGCCGGCCATGGCTGGACGTGGCGGCGGCCCGGTGGCGCGCAGAGAGGCGCAGCTGTGTAACGGAACGCTCTGTCGCGTCCTATCCGGCTCGTGACGTTGTTATCAGCCCATGCGATCGGATGCTGTTCATCGTCATATCGCTCGTCGATGTCATACCATCGTCCCAATGGATGCCGCTCTCGACTAGCATTTATCGCTCGAAGATAGTACAGCTATCACCATCGCCACACAAAACACAGGATTACGCAATTCGCAAGCTGGCAGCTGACGGTCTTCACCGTAAAGAATCCTGCCTGGTGGCAGGAGAGGACGTATGACCACTTGTCCGCCGTCCTGCAGCGCAGGGCAGGCGTCCCATCGCCGTGGCGCAAGCGTGGCCGCGCCCCGCCGTCACGTACCGTGATAACGATGCCGGGCGGCAGGTGACGCAGAAGCCGGCTGTCCAGGATCTTCTGGAACGTGGCGTCCTTCTCGACCACCAGGATGAAGCGGGCCGAGGAGCGCACAAGCTGCACGTGTGGCAGGTCCTCTGGCACCAGCAGGCCTGCGGTGGCGGGTGGCCGGCACGGCCGGTGTGACGAACAGATCGGAAACTGACGGCTGAGAGCCACGTGTATGGGGGGGGGGGGGGGCAATGGCAGCTGGATGGCGCTGACATGGAATGCTTGGTGCTTGTGGTGCTGTTGTCGAAATGGTACATATCGCCGACCTTTAGTCGCAACCGACACGTTGATTTTCAAAATGTTGTTAGTCGAAACTAACATGCTGTTTTTTCCAAATCCCTGGTCTTCTACCTACCCATCTCTCCCATCGGCCTCCAACCCATCCTCCCACTCCACAGTTCGTCCCGCACTACGGAACGCTGTCGTTCAGAGACGGAGCACTCTCGTGACAACTCTGACGGTGTCGGCCTGCCATGTGCGCCCATCATAGAGGCATATCGTATTTGTCCACATCTCCTTCAAACTAATTCAGTCACCTGTCTCAATCCTGCTCCGCGTCCTACCGTGCGGCAGTTACCTCGCCTCACCCCCTCCCCCGCGCCCCCCCCCCCCCCTGCAGCAGCTACCCCATCCCAGCGTCCCACAGCGCAGCAGCTCCCGTGCTCCGTCGCCTCACCGTGCCGGGCGGCGGAACAGTCCAGCACCACGTCTCCGCTCCGCAGCACCAGGTCCCCCGCCACCAGGCCCTTAGACGTGGCGCGTACGTGCGAGCTTTGGCGCGGGATGGCCAGCAGGCGTGTGACGTCATCCAACAGAGCGTCGACAGCCCGCTGGCTGCCGAACAGCGCCACCTCCTGGTAGTAGATGTCCCTGCAACGGTCTCGAACCTGGTGCGGGTGTCCCGGGAGGCAGCGGGCTTTGGTGGTGAGTGGGATAACAAAGGCGGTCCAGCGGCACCAGATGCATGGCTCCTTGGGTTTTGGCGCATGAGCACGCAAGTCTGAAACAAACTTTTCTCCGAAGGCGCTCGACTGACCACAGGTTGGGGACGCGTTTAAAACGCAACATTCACACACTCATCACGAGAAGCATTCGCTACCGATCCGAACGTGGACCAGCACTTGCTAATTTGATACGCTGATAAAGTGATGTCATGCCTTTGAAATAAACACAACTTGCCACATCACCTGAAAAGGGAAAGTGTTAACTTTTTTCTGCAGTGCAGCAGCTCCGCAGTCAATCGTCCAACCACGCGTCACGCTTTCGTCGCATTGTTCAGCGCCTGCCACCAACAGCCGCTGCCGCTGAAGGCGTCTGCCGCCGCCGACACGTTCAGGCGGAGTGTGTCTCATCGCAACCTCACGCTGTGTACGATGAGTCTGTATCCCCCGAGCGGCCCACAGTCAGACCGGTGGTAAAAGGGACCCGCACTGCCCACCTTTTGGTGGAGTGGGTGTTGGTGGCGACCAGGTGGCGGATCTTCTCCAGCAGCAGCACCATCATATTCAGCTTGCTCTCCTTCCGCACGCGCATGTCGGCCCGAGGAGCCGCCGCTGCCGACACTACCAGATGGCCAGCTCTGAGGGCGCAGCGGTCTGTTAGACGTGCCACGCGGTTAGCAGACGTAACGAACCTTCAGTGATGCTTGGACACCATTGGCTCACGTGGACAACGTGATGGTTAAGGAGATGAATGGATGGTTCCCACTGCTTTACTTAATCCGTGATGAGGTTCTGTCGGCACTCCATTAGTATTTGTCATGCCACCGGTGAGGTGAGTTGTCGGTCACTAGTGAGGTGAGTTGTCGGTCACTAGTGAGGCGAGTTGTCGGTCACTGGTGAAGTGAGTTGTCGATCACTAGTGAGGTGAGTTGTCGGCCACTAGTTCGCAAATACGCAAACAGGAGAGAACAGCGCGTCACTGCCCCCGTGCTGACCGCCTTACGTCGCCCCTGCCCACCGCCCACCCTCCACCTTCACTCACGTGTCACACAGCCGCAGGTCCTGCCACCTAGTTTTCGCAGGGAGAACTAACTCAGGAGTTTCGCCGCGCTCCCGGCAGGCGGCGACAGCGGCGAGCAGGGCGTCGATGCGCCGCAGCACGGTGACCGTGTGAACGGGCCGCCGTGCGGCTCTGGGTGAGGGGTCAGTAACGTGACACCGCGGGTCACCGCGGGGGACGGATCGCTGGACTGGGGCTGACTCTCCGGAGGCGTGTGCTGGGGTGGTGAGGACGGGTGGAGGGTGGCGGCAGGAGAGTGGCGCTGGAGGACTGGGGAGTGGTTTTCTGGACGTCATGGGCTGGCATTCGGGAGACAGAGAAGACGTGTACGCGTTGAGAAATGGACCACTGGACAGCAGGGATTGGCCTGGGAGTGGCTGAGACTGAACTGTCGGTGACCGGGTTTGGAGGTCCGAGGACTGACTGCGGACGGCTGGAGACGGACACTGAAGACTGATTGGCTGAGACCGGGGCGTGGCTGGCTGGAACCGGGACGGCGTTGCTTCGGACAGGCCAACTCTGGTGACTGTGACGCAGCCAGTCGTGACGATGACGCCAGGTGACGTGCTTCACGCAGCGGGCTGCAGAGGGAGCCCGTCAGAGGTAGCTGGATGTCCGGATCGTCTTCCACGCCACTCCCGGGCGGAGGCTGGCCGCCGCATGGCGACAGGCCGTGCACTCTCCCGGCGGCGGGGTGGGCTCGGGAGACGGCGCGCGCCACTCGTCCACCTCCATGTGGGCACCATCCACACCCAGGCCTCGGCACAGGCCCGCTGTCGGTGTGGGAGGCGGTGACTGCAGACCACTCGCCGGCCGGCGCCGATCGCCCGCGGCCGCCGCTGAGCAGCGGCGGCCCGGGCCGGAGAGCGCCGCTGGCGACGGTCGCGGCTGCCTCTCACCGCTCCGAGACGCCAGCGTCCGCCCCGTCCAGCGCCGCTTCGGCGCGCCGGCCCTGCACCAGTCGCTGACCTCGGAGATTCAGCAGCTCGTCCACCAGCACTCTCCAGGTCGTCTCGGAGGCAGTCTAGCTCGCTCCGCGCTCCACTCGGCGGCCGAAGGTCGACCATTTCTTCGAGGTCATCCAGGAGTTCTTCCTTCCTGATATTTCCTTGGGTTAGTGGCGGCCCAACGTCAACTGGGTCGTGCAGGTCGTCAATCAGGCCCCCTCGTCCAGAAGATGGAGGCGGACGAATGGGTTCATCCAGGTCGTCTCTCAGGCCGTGGTCCGTTTGATGTGGCGCAACATGCTCCTCTGTCTCATCGAGGTCATCCAGTGGGCTGAATTCCGTGCCTGGAGGAGGTACAGCCTCTTCTACTGCCTCATCCAAGTCATCCACCAGGCCAATCGTTATGTCCCGTGCCAGTGGGAGATCCTGTGGATCGTCCAGATCATCTCGCAGACGCGCTAGATGACACCCAACAACGCCATCTTCCAACGGGACCGACAGCCCGCCGAGCGGGGGTACATTTCCTGTCAAGGAATGATAGGCGCGCGCAGCGCAGCGCGTTCGCGGCAAAAGCGTGGCATGACACGCTTCGGCCGCGGACAAGACTGACTCAGCCTCGGCAGAAGAACAATGGGCATTGAACTGACTGGAACAAAATGTGTGAGGGCCTGTGGGTTGGATGTGGCACGCCCCACTAATTTGTTCTTGGCCTCTTGACTCCATGCATGGCATTGCCGCTGGCTCGACAAGGTCGTCATATTCCATTCTTGTGCTGAACAGGCTCCTTTTGCTTGCGCGCCGTGAAAGTTTACGGTTGAAAATTGCTGAGTGTGGGGCAAAAGTGAAGACAGCTCGTAGTAACAACATACCCGCGCGACGCGCTCATACGGATTTGCTCCCCCTATCACTGCGTTGGGAACATTCAGTAGCGTAAAGGAGTGTTGCTGTCCCTACAGAACAATATTATTTATATCCAATTCATCATTTCAAATCAAACTTATTTCTGTGAAGCAAAACGGAACTTGTAAATTACATATCGTACATTTTTAAAATTTGTCTTGTAGCGATTATACAACATGTCTACCATTTTTTATGCACACACGAGCGTAATCAATCACTATTTTTATATTTGGTAAACCATTATCAGCTGATCGCGAAGGAAAACGTGTTTCCAAACATGACGCAAATGATACACAAATGCGCTGAAGAAACCTCGACCTGGACGTTAGATAGCCTTGCCCTTGACCTCAACAGTGCTTCGAGCTGTGGTTCCCTTGGCTCGGCCAGTCGGCCGATTCGCTGTTTCTTCCAACTGCCTCTCAGTGTCCCAAACAAGGCACTCTAAGCCTCTGAAAAAATACCCGGATATGGGGACTCATCGGGCCACAAGCGCATGTTTCAATCGTTGCGATACGACTGATATGAAGTGGGTGGCGACCAGGGTGAGTCAGCATGATGACGTGATCCAGGTAGACATAAGTCTATTATTATCCGAACCATGAGTGTAGGAACAGGGGGGGGGGGGCTAGGGAGCCATGCTCCCTCACTTTTCAAGGTGGGGGCAGCTTTGTGGACTGGCCCCACTTTTCAGATTAAGGTTGCGTTTAGTTTACTGTTCCACAGCACTGTACATACACGCCGATTCACCTAGCTCACCAGCCATCTTCCCCAAGATGTGTCATCTTTTTCGTCTGCTTATGGCCATCGCTTAGTGTTGCAGCCACAGACCGCCGCCGCGCGGTCTACGGAGACTGCAATGCCGGGCGTCGAGGCTGTTGTTGCTATGGCTTTCGAGCGCGCATGTTCAAAACCACATTACATAGTTTTTATCAGTGGTCAATTCTGACTGATTCTTGGGCATTTTAGGACGGACATGGATTAGCCATGTAAATACAAATTTGGAACCCTATTCCTCTACAAGTTACTTTCAGGGAGTTCTCAATATCTCTGAAGGACAAAAAACATGGAACTGAAGCCTATGTGGCAAGTGTTGGACCACTCACGGCGATCAGGGATGTCGTTGCGTAAATGAGGGTTCCTATGCTGATTCGGGGCCAACTGCGCGGGTCAGACGGCCTCCCGTGTCAGGTAGGGGAACAATGCGATATGATACATCCTTCTAACGGCCTCCGGATCGACCAGGAGATCCCGCCCCGTGTCGTCAGAATGCCAGCGCCGGAAGACACTTCGCGATGGGATGGAGTGGCCCTTCAGCTCTTGGCCGCAACCGGTAATATGCCCCTGGAGTCCTACTCAAGAGGCCCCTTGCCCGGAAGGAAATAAGGCGTCTCATTATTGTTAAGTAGAGTGGTGGTCTCATTATTGTTGAAGAGAGTGGGTCGAAATGAATTTGTTTAATGAAATGAACTAGGCTATCCCATGTTTGCCTGAGGACTTCCATTTCTTTCTAAATGGATTGGGGAAAAATCACATCATAAGGTTTAAACATGGTCGTCCGCAACCGTGAGAGCAAGGACAGCGATGGCCTGGATCGCAGCTTCCGTAAAACCGAACGGCGGTAAACCCCTCTCCCTCTCCCTCCCCCTCCCCCGGCCATCAGGCTTGCTTTCCAGAAAAAGTTCCTGGAGTGCGCCCTGAGCTTTGCCCCTCACTTTTTGAAAGGTTCCTACGCCTTTGATCCAGACCGCCTTTTTAAGACACTGGAAAGGCTGTTGACTCACTGTAGCAGTCACAAGTTACCAAACCTCCTCCCTTGGAAAAGAACTGTGAGTTCGATGTTGGGGGCTGATGACACTCCTCATGAAAGGGAATGCCAGGAGGTGAAAATGGTTTTGAAGTGACGATTTATGCCATTTTTACTCTTGTCCCGATTGAAAATGGCTACCAGTCACATAGATCTACAAACTAAGTGTGCACCCAGTTTACTTTTCGGTTCAGGGCTTCAAACCTCCTCCTACGTTTGTGAAAAAGGGTGCCAATCTGGGAGACGTCCACAATGGGGGGGGGGGGGGGGGGAGGGGGAGGGGGGCTAGGTTGGATAAGTGATCTCTGCTTCCCCAGGCTATCCTCGAAAACTTTATCCCTGCTTGAAATGTAATTATTTATTCAATGTTTTGTCAGCATTTAAACAATTATCTTGAATGTAATGAATCTTGGTCGCTGGAGATTCATACGAAAGTCAACGACGTGGGCAACGGGAAGGTAATGAGAAGTGAGGAGTGGAGTGGTTTAGCAAAGGTAGGCAATAAGAGTGAGGAGATATTAGTTCCATTGCCATCTCCACCTTTAACAAGATGTTCACTTCAAATAGCAGGAAGTTTGTGGTATTACGGTCCAATTGTACGAACGAGCGATGTGTGAGTGGCTTGGTGAGGGCCAGCGAGGAGAAATAATGGTGGGTGGTGGTAGAGGGCAGGAGGAAGAAGTGTGGTGCATAGAACGGGTGGCATAGATCAGTGTAGACGCAAATTTAGGGTGACGTGTAGATTGGAAGAGATGAAAGGAGCGCGGCGCGCGGGACGGGCGTAGTGCGTAGTGTAAGGTAAAGGGAGTACGGCGCGCGGAGGAAGAACAGTGTAGTGAGGGGCATGGAGAGAACGGCGCGGCGTGCCGAGTGAGCACCGGGTGTGCTGCGAAACATGTGGGCCAGCGAGGCGGCCCGCGGCGCGATGCGAAGCCTTCGCGCCCGGGCCGGGAGAGAGACCGGGCGTAGCGCTCGAGGGGGGGGGGGGGGGGGGGCATGGGGGATCACAGGTGGACATAACGGGTCTCGAGTGATACGTCGCAGGCCGCGGACGCGGTCCGCCCGGGAGATGGTCCGGCGAGACGAGGCAGGTAGTTGGAAACGTGGGAAGTGCGTCAAGCGCGAATAAGGGGGATGTGGTAAGAGGTGCATGGCGGAACTGGGAAATGCGGGCGCGCCGATCCAAGGGGACAACGCCGTGGAGACAGGAAAGGATGGACAGCGCCAATGGATGATGGGGCACTGGACCGTCGACTGGGACTGCATGTGATATATTTCACGGGACGATGTAGGCTGATATACGGCTCACTTTGTTAAGGTAAGTAAGACGAACGGTGGTGGAAGGGTGTATCGATTTTCCTCTGCCAATAATCCTTCCTGACACTTCGTTCCGAATTTTACTCGGATGGCTGGCACCCTAATTAAGCGAGCTTCATCCCGTAACCATGAGGAAAAGCAAGGAGTGGCGCGGAGCCAAGTGGCAGCCGGCTGTTTGTGTAAAGAGCGAGGAGACCCATTAGGGGCGAGTGAGTGTGGTATAGAATGTTGATTTATAAGTCGCATGTCTGTGTGTGTAGTCTCAGGCGTGCAGTGATGGGTGCGTGGCGAATGCCGAGCTGGAGGGTAGGGTGGAGTGTGCTAGCTTGAAGAGCAGAGGCGTTAAATTGCTAGCGGTTCCCACCGTACGTCTCAGCTGCCGCAGCGCCAGGCGTCTGTCACAGCGGCTGCAGCCCCAGCCGTCAGTCGCGGTTGTCGCAGCTCCAGCCGTACGCCTCAGCTGCCGCAGCGCCAGCCGTGTGCCGCAGCTGCTGCAATTCCGGCCGATCACCGCTGCTGCCGCAGCTCCAGCCGTCTGGTGCGGCTGTCACTGCTCCAGCCGGTGGCTGCACCTGCCACGGCTCCTGGTGTTCGTCGCAGCGGCCGCAGTCCCAGCCGTCAGTCGCAGTTGTCGCAGCTCCAGCCGTCTACCCACAGCTGTTGCGGCATTTGCCGTTTGTCGCAGCTGTCACCGTCCGCGCCAGCCGCATCGGTGGCATATGTTGATATTGCAGTGAGGGGAAATCGGTGAAAACCCAATAGTGGAAGTTCAAGTAAGGGACATGTTGATGTTTGATGTGTGAAGCTCACAGTGTGAACTAACTTGTATGTGTGCACTGTGGGAATGTGAGCGATCTGTATGGCAGCTCGGGCGTAGGTGAATGTTGTTTGCGCTGTGAACGGATTGTGAGAATCGCCATGGGAGAAAGCCACGATCCCGCCCGTCCCCGGGAGTGAGGGGTTTTTCTTCCTGCTCTCCGAGGAGGTGTATGTTATGTTATGTAATATGTTTGAAGTTAGTATAGAAATTGTTAATGCCAGCCTTTGGGCGCAGGCAAAGCCCCTATCGTGGCGAAACGGTGCTGCGTTATGGCGGCCTCCAGAATGCGAATGCACGTTCACACACATCCAGCTCTGAAGACTGACCCGCTTTCGCCCACCGATTCCATGCGTCCGGGGCCTCCTACCCGCGGGTGGCACGCATACTGTATGTGCCGGCCGGTAGGGATAGCTCTGCCCACACCTGTGAGCGTGCCTCAGGCTTGTAGATTGGAGAATCGGGGCACTCTGCGCCCCGGCCCCATCGGGACTACTCTCCAGGCAATCCTCTCCTCGGCTTAACTAATGCTCTGAGCACCCTGGTGCCGCAGAAGTTTTGACAGCAGTCTTGAGACTGTTACACATGGCTTGAACTCACGGTTGGGAGGCGCCGGTAAGCACGCTCAAGATCGCCCCAGAATCGATTCAGACAATCGTGCTCCCAGGGGACTTATATGCATGTGTGCGATCATCTTTGCCATTCTACTGCCGTCTTTGCCTACTCTCACCAATAAATGTTGCGTTGAATGAAATATTTACCGCGCGGGGTGCCGGACTGATCCGCGGTAAACGCTGTACAACATCGGCGACAGCGGCTGTATACGCTGTCCATACATCGGTGCGTCAGTCCAATACACCCGGGTGACAGGCGGAGCTATATTAGAGCAACGGTGAACAGAGGCTGAGTGTTGGTGCAAAGAAAGGTAGAACCCCGCGGCAAAAGTTAAGTGAATTGCCTTGAGCAGGGCCTTGCGATTGGTAAGAAGGCTCATGCTGTGAATTGACTATTAGATAAAGTATAAGGTCAACTTTTCCTGAGATTGAGGCTGTTTCAGCGTTGTATACTCATATGTACGTAACTATGCAGCGTTGAGACATGGAACGTAAAGAGGCGTGTTTCTTGTTCAGTTATGAGTACAATGGTATGCAGTAAGCTGGAAGTGTGTTAGCCATTACTCAAAGGAAATTTCATAAAAGAGCGTTTTGGTTGTGTACATAATACTGAACTTTGTGATACTGAAAGGGACTTTCGGCGATTGGCCGATTCCCGGCAGCGCGACTGGGCATGATTTTAATTACCATTTGGTTTCTTACGGTATCGCGGTACGCTGCTAGCGACAATCTGCCTGCAGGCATTTGGTCGGCGAACAAATAGCCACTTTTACCACCCCTAATGATTTGAACGCTAAGCTAAAATCAGGGTAGGTACCTTAACATATCGCCAAAATGCCTTCAGCCACTAGTTTCTGCCGCGATCGTTTTCACCGAACGATAATGTGCCTTTGTAAGATGGTACGCAGTGACAAATTCACAACGTAAAGCATAAACTGGTTGATGAACGCAAAATCAGCTGTATTATTCCTCACTCGTACACTACACACCACCCATACACGCGCTTCACATCGTGGTAACGCGCTCATTCGTTTCTATCGTCCACATTTGTGCAGTAAACGGCGTGAATGCATCACGCAAGGGGCTTCTGCGAGTTCATTGGTATTCTAACGAAAAGTGATGACTGGTGGAGAGTGAAGTGATTTACGAAATCACGCGGTGCAGGTGGTGTCAGACGTTGGCTTGTACGAACGTCGGGCACTGCACTGCTGCCAGCCTCTACACCACATACTGCGACCGAACAGCGCTACGCATTATTGTCCTCGAACGCCATGAAGTCGATAAGGAAGACCGCCCCAACAACTGTCGCCTTGACCGTGACGTCCATGTCTCGGGGGAACTGCACGCAGAACTTGTCGCTGTCCGTGAACATCTCTCGCACCAAGCCGCCCCACCACTTGCCCAGCGTCCCCACGTCGTGCTTCCCGTCGGCCGACTTGATCTTGAACTTGCGCTCGCCGCAGCAGCGGCAGGTGCAGCAGGCGCGGGTGATCTTCAGCTGGGTGTCGCCGGTCGCCGAGCGAACACTGAAGCTGGTGGAGCAGAGCCGGCCGTCTTGTGTCACCAGGCCGAGCAGCTGGCCGCCGCGCGACACCTCTAACCGCTGCAGGCAGCAGGGCGAGCAGCAGCAGCCGCCGCAGCGGAACGGCCGCAGCAAGTGGAACACCTCCACGCCAGAGTTGTCCACGATGCGCATGTCGAAGGCGCGGTTCTGGCGGCAGCAGACACGCGCGAGACAATCGCTCTGTTCGGCAGCGCAGTAGATCTGCTGCCCCTGTTCGTTGGTAATGACGTACCGGTTAGCGGTCTCGTAGCCGGTCAGCGCCTCCAGCATTTCCAGCTCCTGTTTGATGATCACCTTCTCCGCCACGGCCAAGTGCTCCAGACCCTTAGGACAGCCCGGTATGACCTCCTCGGCTGGAGTCGTGAGGCTCTGAGGCTGCTCAGCCACCACGTCCCCCATTGGCTTTATGCACTAAGCGTGTTTGATGATGCCGCTAAGTCACCTCTCAGCGGCGTGACGTGTGGGAGGAGGCTAGATAGACGTTATCATGCGTTCAATCCGATCTCTTGTTTGCGTAGACGGGAGCTACTAGCGAAATTACAGGCTGGCGGGAATGAGCGAGCGTCGGATAAGTGGCGAGCTCTGACCAAACAACAAACGCAATGTTTGCGACTGGCAATGAAAGATGTCGTGAGGAATCTCAAAAGAATGTTTGCAGATTTCTGTTTAGCTTTCCAATGACAAAGTTTGATCCGTCCGACCAAGGGGACTCAATACTTCGCGTTCGACTTGCATTGGTTTTGCTCTTGTGTGTCGAATTTGTTTTTCACTTGGGCAAAGTCACGTGCACTTGCGGAAGAGAAGACTTCTCTCTTGCATGATGCCCCATATAATGGCAAAAATATGATTCACATGGTAATGTCCAAAACGTGCGTATTTCGCACCTATCAGGCATCCAACACCAGATCACCAGGTTCGCCCCCAGCACGACTTTGCACGACTTCATTCACGGGACATGGAGCCCGCCTTCAGGTCAACGCGCTTAGAGTCGATTCACATGTTCCCATTAAGAACAGTGATGAACGGTCTTGAATCTGTCTCCATCCCGTCACGTAATGTAGGTTGGCTATTATGCCGATATGACCGTTGCCACGTCGTACATGGGTATACACCTAGGTAACTCCTTTTCCTCTCATCCTTTACAGGGTCTACTGTAAAAGCAAAACACTGGGCGATTTGTATCAGTCGAATTCGGGGCAACATAAAAGCCAAATCTGCATCTTGCCGACCTTGCTGTCATGCTGTCAGCTGCACACAAATACGGAACAAATGTTCAGACTATCGTCCCCGTCAGGGATTTATCGGTGATGATCTCCGGGGGAGATGACCTCCAAGTCCGCATGATAATAAAGGCCCTGGTCCTTTAGCCCACTATCGTGCAGCCCTTCACAATGATCTGTGCTATACCACACCACACCGGTCCAGAACCGCTCCGCTCCACTCCGCTCCGCTCTCAGCTGCGGTGGCCTGTTACAAACCAACAATCACTTTTCTCGACCGATAGAACACGTAGCGGGTTTACCCAGGAGCATGCAGTAGACAACTAATGGCCAGCAGATTGAACACTGATGCCACCACTGTTGCGCATTCCAAAGCTCCACATCTGTCGCACAGGTGTGGACATGCATTCAGGCACCGTTTCCACTGGACTGCGCGCAACAGCCGGGGTGGAGGATAGGGACAGTCAGCAGGGCCTGCGGTCCGCAGACAGCCGGACCGCCGCCTGCGGACCACGCAGACAGCGTCTGAAGGCTACGGAGCAGGGCAGCGGGTGAGGCGTCACCTCGGCGATGTCTGCGACTAAGCGTCTTCAGACGTCTTCCGGAGCAGCTCAACGTTTGCAGAATCTACCGGGCGGTATATTTGGTGGGAAAGCGACCACAAACGTCTCTCAAGCTGAGACTGACCTCCCAGGCGCAACAAGGAACACCAGAAGAGCCGGGCGGTACCGCTGACGGCCCAAACGAGAAATTAATGACTGAGGGTTGGCCAGCGACCAGCCAACAATGCAAACCAAGATATTGATTAAGTATCCATACCACTAAAAAGGGAAAAAAAGCTTCACAACGCTTGACGAGACCCAAGCACCCCACGCGCACTGAACGCCAGCAGCGGTGTCCTGACCTGCTAGTACACCACGGGACAGCAAGGGACACTGAATCCGCGCGTAAGCATGCCTCCAATCCGGAAGCAACGGCAAAGTGACATCGTCATGCATATGGGCCTACTACTCGCACCTGTTCGGGATTCCCAAACGGATGCAACCCCAATTCCGTTCCTTGTGCATGGAGCCGGTGCACCGACGACATTGCAGTGATGTGCCTCCAAAGGTCGGCTGTACTGACAAAAGGACAAAAAAAAAAGAAACCGACGCACTCAGACCTACTACACCCATTGTGTACATCTTGTTTTCTGTATTGGACAAGCCGCAGTGACAACGAGCCCCGTCCAGCTGAAAACAGACGCATAGTTCCGCAAAGCCTAGTTAAATGCAGACAGTATAGGTTACCCCACAGACACACAAACCAATCGCAATCACACCTTGTGCTCTGGCATCATCATCCCAACAAAAACAAACGTCTGACCAAACAATGCACGTTCCCACCATTTCAGCACTCCAGCTTCTTGCTTGCCCAAATTTCACCCCTCTCTACTACCATACAGCAGTAAAAGACCGCCTTTTCCCTCCGGCACCTCGGCGAGGCCGGGAGCACCGCTCACGTCGAACTGCTTCAGGTCGTCATCCACGCAATCCACCAAACCGCATCACGTGACATCTACACAGTCTACGAGACCGCCGTCCACCTCAGTCTGAGCGTTTACAGCCTCGTTAGCCCGTCAGCGCGTGCCCACTCGCTGCCATGCCAATATTCGCCAGGCCGCGGACACGCCTCCACGCCACTCCCGGCCGCCCGCCTCCGTGGTGCCGACCGGCCGGAGATCAATCATCGGCCGCCGCCGTCTCACCGCACTCCATCCGCGCGAAGTCGATCACGCGCGCATTGTGCTCGGCCAGGAGCTCGCGCACAGTCACGTCCGGTTCGACCAGGAACTCCTGGTCCAGGAGGCGCGTCTCCACCTTCCCGTCGCTGTCGCTCCCGGAACCCGAGCCAGTGGCGCCGTCTGCGGGCGCCTCGGTGCTGCCATCTGCCTCGGCGGGCGGCCGCGGGTCGCCGAGCGAGAGCGGCGCCATGCCGACGATGTGCTGGCAGAGGTTGCGGCCGAAGCGATGCGGCGTCAACACGTCCTTGCCCGAATCGAACATCTCGAACAGCACGACGGCGGCATAGCGGCCGACGTGCACGCCGGCGCGATCGCGCTCCTGGCCCGGGTGCACGTAGGATGCGAGGTGAGTGGCGGGGCCGGCGCGCACCACGGCCGCGCGGCCCAGCGTCACGTTCTCGCCCAGCTGGCCAATGGCAAGCGCCACGCGGTCGGGAAGGCTGCGGCCGTCCGCGCCGGCCACGGTCGCCAGCTCAACGGTGCTGATCGAATCGTCCGGCCGACTGTCGGCCAGTGGCAGACAGTCGACGGCCGCCTCCCGCACCAGCTGGTCGAACACGGCGTTGCGCGCCACAAAATCGGTCTCGCAGTTGAGCTCCACCATAGCGGCGGCGCGACCGAGTGTAGCCACGCCAACCAGGCCTTGGGGTGTCGCACGCGCGCCCAACTTGCTGGCCTTAGCCCATCCCTCAGCCTGAGCCTGCTCCCGCAGCCAGGCCTCTGCCCGCTCCAGGTCGTAGTCATGCTGCTGCAGTGCTTTCTTACAGTTGACAAAGGAGTAGCCCGTGATTTTGCGCAGCTTCGCCAGCTTTGTCTTGTCTGCACCAGCCTCAAGTCGGGCGCTGGTGGCCAAGCAGCGAACAGCACCACGCAGCAGCAGCATGGTGCCAATGCAGCCTGCATGGACAGAGCTCAGGATTAGTGTAAGGCAATGCTGACCACAGGTAGACTTGTACATGAGGCAAAGCTGACCACAAATAGACTTGTGCATGAGACAATGCTGAGCACAGGTAGACTCATGCATGAGGCAATGCTGACCACAGGCATACTTGTGCATGAAACAATGCTGACCACAGGTAGACTTGTACATGAGACAATGCTGACCACAGGTAGACTTGTGCATGAGGCAATGCTGACCACAGGAAGACTTGTGCATGAGGCAATGCTGACCATAGGTAGCCTTGTGCATGAGGCAATGCTGACCACAGATAGACTTGTGCATGAGACAATGCTAACCACAGGTAGACTTGCACAGGAGGCAATGCTGACCACAGGTAAACTTGTGCATGAGGCAATGCTGACCACAAGAAGACTTGTGCATGAGACAATGCTGACCACAGGTGGACTTGTGCATGAGGCAATGCTGACCACTGGTAGACTTGTGTATGGGGCAATGCTTACTACAGGTAGACTTGTGCATGAGGCAATGCTGACCACAGGTAGACTTGTGCATGTTGTGCATGCTAACTGCACAGCTTAGTTCCATGTCACGTTGTCAATAGATCGTAAACATCATATCTTGTGTATCTAATGTTTTTAATATATTCTTCACATAATTACATGACTTGCTGCAACACCCAAACCTTAACTAAAATCAGCCATTTTAAGGCAAAACTGAACTGGTAGCCATTGCTAGTGAAAAAAACAGTTTGTTGAAACTTGAGCATCTTCATAATTTGCCAACCAGTATGTTGGGGGATGCCCGCATGCAATAATCACACCCAAATGTTACCTTAAATACCATCCATACCGTCCAAATTTATGCATTTCTATGTTCGTTTCTGTATGAGCAAAATTACATAGCCCCGGTAAGCAATGCCGCGCGGATTATTTGTGCTTAAGCTATATTTCAACACTCACTATCACCTCAAATTGACCCCGAATTACCTGTTCCCTAGCCAGCCCATTAAACACACCCACAGCCCTCAACCTACCTGTGATCCGTGCCCGGCACCGTACACAAATTTGTTAGTGCCTCCGGGCTGCGCCATTGTACATGCGCACGAAACGCAACCAGTAGAAATTGTGATCAGGAGTATTAAGATATTCAATTTATTCAAATAGCATTGATTTTACTGGTTATGACGGAGTGATAGAGCCAAATTATTTTTGCTTGATAAGAACATTTGCAAAGCTTTTTAGCTCAGCAAAATAAAAGTGTATCTTTTTCAAATGTTTTGTTATTTATACCGCCATATTCAATTTCAATCGCGCAGCTTTTGCCGCTTTGCCCATCTTTCCGCAGGATGCCGCGCCTTGGCTTTCAGCTACGGGTTGACGAAGTACATGGCGTTTTAAATCCATTGAAAAATACAGGCGATTTTAAACGTACCATGCCTCTGTGTCATTTGGTGCTGTAAGGTAAGACACTACCCTGTGACAAGTTTATTACGCCAGGTAGGTAGGGCTGTAGTAAGATCCCATTCACCCATGTATTTAGTGTCTTTTCATTATCCACAATCACAGTGAAAGTACGCCGCCTTAGGGCTTAACCATGCTACGTCAAAACCCGCGCATTCAATTATACTGAGGACAGAAGTGCTCTTAACCTTATAAATAGATGGCAAGCATAATTTCCATCATAAACCTAAATATGTGTGACCATTTATAAATAAAGTACCTCCATGGAGCACAGACTGCTAAAGATGCATGTTGTGTAAAGCATGCCTGACATGTATAACAGTGAGATCACAGCAACAACTTTGGTTCAGCACACATTGGCTGCAAATTTTAGCGCTGTTCGCAGTTGGCACTTGATCAGCACCAATTCTAGTGCATGGGCAGCCAACATTTTCAGACAGTGTCAATTTGCATAGGAAATTTTATACAAAAATGCTCAAAATCCTTGTGAAAAATGATGTCAAATTCAGCATACTTTGGCCTCGCCTAATTTTGGTGCACATAGCTTCCAAGGCTCAGCACACCCATGTGCACAGGTGTCAGTTGCAGTTGTCAGTTGCAGAGAATGTTATTTTTTGCTGACTGGCATGGAGAAAGAGGTGAGGATTGTTTTCATGGAATGTAACTGAAGGGTAACAAGGTAAGGGTTTTAGGACAAAGTCACATTATGCCCACAGTTTGTTGCAGATCACATCTACTTCCTAACAAGGTATTTTAGTAATAAAGTTATATGCCCCTTTTAGTTTCCTCTCTTGACAACAGCATGCCCTTGAATTGTATTTCATCTCGAGCTCAATAACAGATGAAGCAGAACCTACTTTTTAAAATGTTATGGTTAGGAGATGCTATACTTGGCCTGTGTTTTTTCATTCTATTCAAATATCTCTCTGAGATAACTTCTTGACCATGCACACATTTAAAGACTTCAAAAAGATCTCCACTAAGACATCCATGTTCTAGCAAAGACTAGTCAGCTTCCTTAATGCCCATCAGATGATTACCAAGACCACTTAGTATGTGACTTATCCCTTTTTACACTGTTAAAAGCCAACAATCCTTTTGAAAACTTAGACATCATAAGCTGGAGCTGAAGTGTGCACACAGCACTCTGCAACATGACAGTATATTTTTTAGGAGAGGACACACATGATAGCAGTAATTGGCATCTTCAGCTCCCATTAGCATGCCAGGCTCAAATTCACTAATGTTTGTTTCTTTTTCCATTACAGCAGGTGCTGTAGGGCATCCACCTGACATGTGATGTAATGGCAGAGTCTCTAGATGCCATCCAAGCTCAGCTGTCAATATTGCAGGGTAAGCACAAAGTACTTATTGTGACATACCTGGTCTACCCATACCTGTTCTGTCACCTGTTTGTTTTTCATCTTCATCAGTTTTGTGTTCATCATCACCATGCTAATCTGCCTGTTTTATTGCAAAACACATGCTTCATAACAGGAGCATCACATATACCTAGATCTGTACTATTGTTGTAACATACATGTATTGATATGTATCTGTACTGGATCAGCTGGGTTGTTCTGTAGTTGTACCTTGAAGACCTTTTGGCATTGCGATGTCTCGTAACAAACCAATAACTTCCATTTCAGACCCTCAAAGGAGTACTGTACACAAGCTTATTGCCTTAGAAGAGCTGTGTGATAGCTACAAGGATGGCTTCAGCACTGATGCCCTTGAGCTCATTTTTGCCTCCCTGTCTTCCATTAAAGGTGAGTGAATGACTTACCATTAGCTCTGTACCCTTAAAATTGGGCTGCCGTAGGACCTTTCTTTGAAAAGCTGAGTACTCATGTCATGCTGTCATGAAACAGTCTTTGTAAACAAGATCCCTGTAGCAACTTTCAATTGGCGTATCCCAACTTTAGGGCATATTTCAAAAGCATACTCCAGTGAAACCCCAGGACTAGCTACGTCTAACGATAGCACTGGGTAGTACCGCTGCAGCACCGTCAAGACATAACAAGGATATCAATTTGAATTATTTCGGTGCCCAAATTACGCTGCCAACGCTTTGTAACTGCACTACGCTTCTCCCCTGCAGTCGTGACCACCGTGGTCATGACAACGATCGTGCGCACCCCTACTGACGCAAATAAAATAACGTTTATGAATGACCATTTCTGAGCTATGTGAATGAAGGAGAATGGATAACGGTGGGGCAGGACTATGTGCGCCCCCCCCCCCTCGGGGGGGGGGGGAGGGGTGGACCGCCGGGCTGTAGCCCGCGCAAGGACCCCTCGAAGTGTATGCCACGCGCCCGGTCTGGGTCCTCCTCCCGGGGGGCCTCTCGGCCCACTCGTGTCTGACGCATGCAGTCTACCCCGGACAAGCGGGACATCGTGCGAATTAAGAATAAAACATGAAAGAGGATCGGATGACCGGATGGAAGAGGGTCGGATGACCTAACACGAGTTACGTTTTGTGCCACAGTGCAAGAGGTTATGCATTCCTCCTATTAGCTACGGAAATATGACTTGTAATCGAATAACCTACGGAAAGTGTTACAAACGAGTATGTGAATGCGAGGAAACGTCTTAAACTCGCGGATGAATATGCAAAAACACCACGAGAAAGGGGGAAAAACACGAACACATAACGATATTTGGTTAAATACCGCCGCGGCCACACCTCCAGCACTGTGTGTGTGTGTTGCTGTGGGTTGCAGCCGGTTGAATGAATCTGGCATGGTTCATGAGTCTAGACAGCCAGTGTAATTCTCGTGCGCCCTACAACACAAATAAACAGCAAAAATAGTGTTAATCACTGCCGGACTTGACAATGTTGCCGACAAGCCGTTGCCTACATTACAATGCGTCCCGTCCCATCTAGGTCATGCGTAATGCGTATTCTAAAGGCGTCGTCATCTTGGTGAGGCCCCACAAAATTACTCGCGTATGTAGCGCCGCTCTTCTCCGCTGCTCAGTTGCCGTTGTTGCCCGATATTGAACCGTTGGTTGTCGTGTTGCCGACCTCGTGCGGCGTATTGCCGCTGGTGGACGTTTCTCACCGCTGACTGACGTGCGCCGCGGCCGCCGCCACAGTCATCCAACGCAACAAGCTGCTGGACTGCTGCCTGCCGGCTGACGGTGTCTCGGCCCGGACCATCGACCTGGCGGTGGCGCTGCTGTCTGGCGTGAGTGGCCGGCCCGCGTCGCCGAGCCCCCCTCAGCGGCGGGGACGCTCTGTCCGGGGCCAAGCGCCGAGCCTCGGTCGGCCAGGCCGGACGCAGGCTTGGCCGTGTGATGGACACAACTCACCGAGGGAGCCGCCGGTGAATGGCTGTCAGATGGCAGCTCCCTTGTGACGTGACGTCATCCGAGGTCAAGCCTGGTCTTCCGGCCATCGATTGGAGCGCTGGGAGTTCAGGCGTTTTCATGCAATTTCAGCAACTATGCTTTGTATTAGAACATTTAATGCTTTTATATTCAAAAGTAAGGTCTGTTTCCGAAAATAGCCGAAGAAAGGCTCTCTCATGAACCCAAGCAGTTGCGTGCCCCGAAACCCTAAACCGGATTTCGTAAGGCGCGCGGTGGCACGTTACGGCTATAGTTGTCTTAGTATTTCATCACAACGCTTTGCCAACTGCCTTACGGACGGGGTGCTGCTGTGCTGGAATGCTGCTCTTGCTTCGTGCATAAAGCGTATGCACATACATTTTTCTGGTCTGACATATTCTCGAAAAGACTGTGTTGTGACCGAAGTTGATCGAGAAGGGCTTAAGGTTGCTCCGTGTTCCGGGATAGGACGTCGGCAGTTTGGCTGTGATTGCCAGCGGCAGCTATACTGGATACAAGTCGGTTCAGTCGTGAATCGTGGTCTACGTTTGTTTCACTCTGAAGAAGTGCGTGTGAAAGAAATAAGTTGCACTGACCATTTTACAGCTTGCTACTTCCTCACGTGGTTCAAAATGCTTGGGTACTTATCGTTATTTGTTGTGCCTGATTTTAATAAAATACCAAAGGGGACGACATTCCCCATAATCCCGTTCCAAGTATCTGTCGTCATACCGGTCATCGGGTCGTATCATACCAAATATCTGTCGGCCAAGGCTCACAGCATCCACATGCCGTCAGTCGTTCGTCGAGATCAGCGGCAAGAGTCGCCTTTTGGAATGGCTGCTGGCAGGAGTGCAGCACTTCTTTTCCCTCGAGATTCGCCGGCACCTGAGAACATACTACGGAGTCATATTCCTGCAGACGGGATACCGAAACACGGTGAGTATTCATTACACCGATCTCAGCAAGGCTGTCTGCTGGTGGCCTTTCTCGACGTCCGCTGCCAGGTGAGCCTGGGTCACCCCGATCGGTCAGGGCATGGCTGAACGGACTGCCCTGTCTTCTCACTGCGTTCGCGCGATTTGAAAGGTGATGCACGGTCCCACGCAAAATAAGAGGAAGCGTTGGGCTTGTGCCCATAGTTGTGCCGCCCGAAGGTAAAACCCCACCTTTTCATTCGTGGTCGTTTTGCGTTTTTTTATGTCGTTTGGTTCGTCTTCTCAAGCTGAATTCGGTTATTTAAACGATTAGTTGAAATTTTTTCAAACTCTTGGCTCCCACTTTTAGCTAAAAGTTTGTGAAAGTTTCAAATAGTTTGTAAAAAATCGAATTCAGCTTAAAACGAATCAAATTACATAAAAACTCAAGATGACCAAAAGATGAACATATGAGGCTTCGCCTTTGGACAGCGGAGTTGCGGTGTTTACACTGCTTGAATACTTTGCGTTCTGCAACTGCAGCGATAGAGAATGCCGTCACTGTGAGGGCGTGTTTGCGATTTTTCCGTACCTCGTTTGGCTTTCACACCCCAGAAATGTTGCGGAACGAGATCCGACGTCTGCCATTCCCCGGCAATTATCGGCGTCCGTCGCACGGCTGTTCTCCTCTTAACTATCAGCTGGCACGCACACAGATTATGTTCGAGTCTTTTCTGGAATGAACACTTGCATTAAGTTCGATGGTGGCCGCGCGACCAGTCTTCACGACGCTGTTCTCGGTGCGCGGCATTCTTTGAATATGTATGTGGTGTGGGCGGGGTCTTAAACATGATCCTCTCCTTGGGTGGAGCTTGGCGTCCTTTTGATTTGGCCTCCCCACCAAGATGGTCTAAATTCCTCCAATTGTCGAACAAAGTCGTCAGAATTAATGTAGGCAGCAATACCAAACCAAACATAGTTATTCGAGGATAATATGATTTTCGCGCGCTCCCCCGTCCCCTATGTGAATATTATGAACCTCACATTATGCTGCTTTCCTTGCCGTGGGTCTTTTGTGTTGACGTTTGTGTTTTGATGTTCAGGTGAGCGTGACGTGTGCCCTGCTGCTGCCTCTGACCGAGCAGAGCGACGTCCTCCCCTACCGGGTGGACCGTCTGGTGACACTCACCGCACCGGACTTCGCCGCGGACAGCGGACCGCTCTGGTCCCTCCTCAGGTCAGTCATGGTCAGCTGATCCCTCACGTCAGTCATGGTCAGCTCATCCCCCCTCAGGTCAGTCATGGTCAGCTGATCCCTCACGTCAGTCATGGTCAGCTCATCCCTCCTCAGGTCTGTCATGGTCAGCTGATCCCTCATCAGGTCAGTCATGGTCAGCTGATCCCTCAGGTCAGTCATGGTGAGCTGATCCCTCATCAGGTCAGTCATGGTCAGCTGATCCCTTATCAGGTCAGTCATGGTGAGCTGATCCCTCCTCAGGTCAGTCATGGTCAACTGATCCCTCATCAGGTCAGTCATGGTCAGCTGGTCCCTCCTCAGGTCAGTCATGGTTAGCTAATCCCTCAGGTCAGACATGGCCAGCTGATCCTTTGTCAGGCCAGCCATGGCGATCTAATCGCTCATCAGGCTAGTCATGGACAGCTGATCTCTCATCAGGCTAGTCATCATTTGATTCCTCATCAGGCTAGTCATCGCCATCTAATCCCTCATCAGGCCAATCATGGCCACATGATCCCTTATCAGGTCAGTCATGATCTGATCCCTAATCAGGTCAGTCATTGACACTGATCCCTCCCCAGGTCAGTTATAGGTTTCTTATCCATCGCCTAGTCAGGAGTGGGAAGGGGGTGTCTCTGGTGCTTCTCACCAAAGCGTTTAAGTTTGTTTTACTCATCCAGCCGCGACGGAAAATCGCGCATTCAAACGGGCCAGAGCACTTGCGAAGCGCACCATGCGCGAGGCGAAATGCCCCTCATAGGAAGCGTGCGTTGGTAGTCTTAGCCGCCAAACATCTGTCCGCGCGGTGCGGCAGCGGGCGAAGCATGTGCTGGGGAAGTGTTCCGAATGCGGGCCCCGTGTTGACAGTTGCAGGACGGTTTATGCCAAACGCATTGGCAGTGGGAAATGAAGTAGGCTGGACACTAGCCGAGCGATGCAGGCTGGAAACAACAAACTTCAGGCTTGTTCGCCATAAAAACATATTGCGAGTCTGCTCCGATCAGTTAAAAATTACCTGACCCCAGCTCTGAATTGTTTGATGTTGCTTTAACTGTAGTAGAACTGCTGAGTTCTTAAACGGTACGCCATAATAACCTCATTTAAATCCTGCTATTCCTTACGCCATGCGACGATCAATGCCAATACAAATACAAATGTGCAGTCGTTCGTGCGTGGCGTTCGTGAGCACGATTTCCAGATATAACGCCCGTCAGTTAGCTCTCAATCATTATTGTGGAAGAGGGATGACGTTATCAAA